TAGAAAGTTATGTATTTGCTATGTGATTAAGAGTTTGCTTAAAAAACCTAACTTCACGTATGTGTTATCAAGAAAAGATGCACTTATGATCAAATCGTTACTACTACTTGACGTCTGTGCGTTTTGGAGGTTAGGTTTTATGTGTAAAACGCTTGATCGCACATCAAATACATAATTTTCCATGTCATTCTTTTTTGATACTAGATTTTTATATTTCTCTTATCGAGATGTTATTGTTGATAACTACATATATTTTTATTATTTGTTTACATAATAAAATTGTTTAAAACAATTTAACGAGCCGCAATCCGTTACGCGTAATCTAATAAAAATCTGCAACGAATTAATTTTATTAACAAAATGCGTCAGCGAGAATACGAAACGTGGGAATATATTTAATAAAGTTAATTGTTAATTAGACATGTTTGTTTATTTGTTAAAGATTTGAACTATTTCAAGAATTTTTTAGACCGATAAATAAATCCTTAAGTCTTGCGTGTAAAAAAATGAGAAGTAGATATGCAACTATTTTGGCACTTTATTTTCTTGTTAAATAATTAAATCTTTAAAACTTTTAAAAACTTCTCTTTACTCAAAATGATTCAAGCAAATTCAAAGCTTTACTAGAGCCATTAAATTAAATTTAAGATCCTGATTTATCCTGATGTACAAATTCAAGAAATTTGAAGCGACCAAAATGTATTTACCACTAAATAATTTTTACCAAGGTATTTTACGAGATTTTTACATGGTACAAGATCCATACAATAAAGCCAAAACAATTACTGAATGTCCTAAGTGTGACATATTGTTATTAATTTATTTTATTTTATTCATTTATTTATTAAAATAGCAATCAAGATGCAATTTAATCTTATAAGCTTATATATTGTAACACAAACGAGAGGAATCGAAAGAAAAAAAATAATAATAGAAGAAAGAAAAAAAAGAAATAATTATCTAGAGTTTACTCCAATGATTGAAGCCTAGTGTTTTATTTAAGGGTTATTAACAATGTTAAAAAAAATTTAAAAAAATCTCATTAGAGAGGAGGACCTTCATGCAAGATTCAATATGAGCACATAAACTTATAAAAGTTAATTCTATTTCTGATTGTTGGTTTAAAATAATAATAAAAAGAGAAATTCGAAGTAAGTTAAAAACTAAGATTTTTTCTCAAAAAATGATATTTTTTTTACATCAAAACTATAAAGATATAATGATGGCCTAATATATAATATTTAATTTTGTAATTCGGCTATTATTACTACTATATATTTATATTTTGATTATTAATAGTATTGAACAACAGATTCAAATTTAAATTCGATTGATTTTTATTAATAAAAGCCACAGCAAAGCGCGGCCGGGTCTATTAGTATATATATATATATATATATATATAATTTATATTACGCATCTATTACAAAATCAAGGAAGAGACACACATATAGTTTTTTGCTAGTTATAAACAATCAGATTTCCACTCCGTCTAAATTAATAAAATAGGCCGTTATATAATATAAACATTAAATCTTTCATATAAATAGTTTATAAATTGCAATTTGCAATAAAAATTTAGTTGTTTAATTGATGTTTACACTTATGCAACTCCTTTGCGTTTTACATGTGTTTCAAATTTAAACAAATTTTAAATGACACGAATATAAACTATTTTAACTTAAAATTCGTAATGGTGCTCTCTCTCTCACACACACACATATATATATATATATATATATATATGTGTGTGTGTGTGTGTGTATATATGTATATATGTATATATGATATTTCTTTTGGCATATAAAGATCGCACAAATGCCCATCCAGTGTATTACTAGGTCAAACAAAAGTAAGCAAACGCCATACTATCCGATATTATGATATTCAGTTTCGCAGATTTCATTTCTACCAGATACAGAAAATGTATACAATTACATATATACATATATATATATATATATATATATACGATGTATAAATCATATATACATGTGTATCAGAACATTTAATTAAATTTTGCAAGTGCATAGTTTAAGCGTTTTATCGACGTTACTGCAAAAACTTGTTCTCACGTTATTCACTATGTTCTATATAGAAATATACATATATACATAAATTTATATATATATATATATATACATATATATATATTTAAATAGATCATCATTCCAAGTGCTTGGATCGATCAGAACCAATACTAAAAAATATAGAGTAAAAAGAGTATCTTATTATTTATAAGTTAATTCAATATCGACCTGAAAGATTAAATCTCGGAATTCGCGAGTGGAAAGGGTTAAAAGAGAACTTACGACCTGATCCTTGACCTGAGAAGGTAAAAGAGCAAAGAGCGCGATAACTAGTTTTTGGGGAAGACAGGTCTAGCGATTTCAAAATTTTGAAAATACATCGAAATTTCCAAAAAATTTAAATTTCAGAATTTTCAAAAAAAAAATTGCAAAATGAAAAAAAGACTTTTTGTACTTCGACAACGAATATTGTCGACTTTTTGTATTTCGACAATGAATGAATATTGGATTTCATTAAAATTTTGGTAAATATACAAAGTTTTTAACAATTTTAACTATATTCTTATTCAGATCAGTTAATTTTAACTTTGCAATTCCGTTTCATAATATTTATATAATAAAAGTAATAAGCCATCGATCACGTGATCGATTTTTAAGAATTTTTGGATCCAAAATTTTAACCAACACCATGAGTATTTTCAATACCTAGAAAAAACGTAACATTTTTGGATTTTCTTTTTTGAAAAATTTGGTTTTTTCATTCAGATTTAGGTAAAAAATAAATACCCTTGATATTTTATATACTAGACTTTTATATCCATTAATTACGTGAGGTTTTTGAGGGATGGAGGGTTCAACAAAAAATCACGTGTATTTGTTTTTTACCTGTTTTTTTAAAAAAAAATATCCAAACATTTTCAGAAAAAAATCGATGATCCCCCTCCCCGAACAAACATCTTTAGCTGTGAGAAAAAAGTGTGAAATTTTGGATTTTTTTGAAAATGTTTGAATTTGTATATGTATTGTGTATTTATTTTTTACATGATTTTTTTTAAAAAATATCCAAACATTTAAAAAAATCATGATCGATTTTTTAAGGATTTTTGATCCCTCCCCTGCCCTTGGTGATACGTGGTTATATTCAAAATTACCCACCTTCTTCATCAAACATCTTCAGTTACGAGAAAAAATGTAAAATTTTGGATTTTTTTTTGAAACTATTTGAATTTTAAAAAAATCCGGTAAAAAATAAATACACGGTGATATCTTACTATACCCCTCCCTCCCCCACGTGATGTTTGTTAAATTCCTTCTCGCCCTAAAAACCTCATATGATTAACGGACGCCCCCCAAGGGCTATTTGCACTTGAAAACATATTGCAATCTAAATTTCCAAGTGAAAACCTATGTCACTACTGCTTGATATCAGGCTGCTCGAAGCACCGGTACTTCTGATTGAAATCCCACCGTTGTAACCACTTGAAAAGGATAGACAAACAAAATAAGAAGCAATTATTCAAAAAGTTAATTACAAATCTTGGTTAACTAGAAAGAAAAATAATAAAAAGATCCGCTTGAAACATCAATTAAAGAAGTCACGATATCTGATCATCCGGCTCGAAGGACCATTTTATGGAGCGCATTCAAAAAATACTAAAGTATATTTAATTAAAACTCAATAATTGACTAATTTACGATGATTTATTAGACATGATCTATAATATTATTTTTTATACAACTTTGGTCTTTTATCTGGGGGCGAGTCTTAAAAAAAATTTAAACCAAAAATTCCTTTCCTGTGCCTGTTCCTGCCCTCACTCTCTTTCCTATACTGATACATGGATACAAAGAGGTGCTTATCAGGGACTATATAAACGCACGGATAGCGCCGCGCGAACCAGTCGACGCGACACACGCGACGTGAACGGATATAGTAATAAACAAAAATACAAATTTAAAAATAATTATTATTAAAAAAAAAAGTTTATAAGTCGGTATGGATTTGAAAATGCTGACGAAATAATTACATTGTGAGTTTGTACTGGACTTATAATAGTGATGACTTATTTGATATTTAATACTTAATATTTAATACATAAATAATTAAATTCAAATAGTTATAATTTAAGTTTAAACTAGTTGTGTATTGTCTAAAGTGTCTCAAAGAGATTTCTGTACTGTAAACAAATTGATGATGGTTATTAAATTAAAACAAAAAAGATTTTAAATAAAATAAAAAAAATTATATTTGATAGAATAATTGCTAAATAAAACTATTTGAATAATAATATTATAATAATATAAGATAATATTTTTTTCTAATATAATATAATATAAAATTTGTTGTCTTTAAGACTATTACAAAAATGCTAAATCTAATTTTATGTCCCGTACATTTAAATTGATGTTAAATTTTGTGCAATATTTATAAATTTTGCATTTTTTTGATATTCATATAGAAAACTTTTTTTTTAATTGATACAAAATAATAACTAAATTAAATTAAATTTTGTTTTAATTTGATAAAACTATTAGATTAAATTTAAACAAAATAATAAATAGATCTATATAATTTAAACAATTATTTTTTCACATTTAGAATAAATTTTAAATTTAATAAATAAATAAAATAAATTTCAAATTTTAAATAAATCCAAAAATGTTCAAGTTTTTTAATGAACTTTAAAACTTGAAGTTTTATAAATAAAATATATATGCTGAAGATGTATAAAACTTTACATAAATATAATAAATTATATACTTAATTATAACAATAATATAATAAATTATAATTTTTATAAATATAAATTAAAAAAAAGTTTTTAACTAGTTTAAATTGTAATTTTTATAACTATAAATTTTAAAAAAAAGTTTTTTTATAACTAAAAACATGTTACAATGTAACATTTTATTAATTCGAGTTTTGTATTTTCAGATAATATTAATTTAATTTTAATAGTTCTGGCTGTGTTTAATTTGTTATATTAAGTGCTAAAATATTAAGTTTGAGTGTTTCTCAAACTTTAGTGACGCTTTTTATTGTTGAAAACTTTTTAAAATTGATTTCGAAATGACAAATATGAAACAGACTGTGATTAGGTGAGTTGATAAAGAATTATTTATTTAAATAAAAGACAATTTTATTAAAAATTATTATTTTATTCTGAATTTAATATATTATATTTATATAAATATTATAAATATTACAAAATAATTATATTAATATTTTTATAAGAGTTATTAATATTATTTATTATTGGAATGTTTTTAATTATCATTATTATAGTTCTTATTAGTATTGTTATTTATAATTAATATTAATTATGAATAACAGATAGTAAAAAATATTGTAAAAATTATCACAATTTTTTGTTTTTAATTATTCAAATATTAATAAATATTTGAATAATAAGTATAAATTGATTTAAAATATTAATAATAAGTATAAATAATTATTAAAACAATTTCTTCACTAATATTTTGTATTCATTCATAACACTTGGTTTTTAATAATAATAATAAGAATGAGTAAAAAACGAACTTTATAAACTTGGACTTGCCTTCAGACAAAGCACGAATAATAAAAATTAAAATAATTGAATAATAAGAGAAAAATTTATTAATAAACTTTATAAACTAATAAGTTTTGGATAAACTCTAATGATGCTAATAAAACATGAATAATAAAATTAATAAAACTACCTACTACTACTTACTAGTCTCGGGTTCTATCTCAACCTCAGCCTGCTCGATATCAAGCAGTATGATAACAAATTTCCACTTGAGGTTATAGATCTACAATATAATTTATAAGTCTCTAGAGGGCATTGCTGCAACATATATTAAATATACATGTAGTAAAGATAGGTGGTAGACCATTGGGTTGCGCCTTTGAAAATAATTCTAGGGTAAAACCCACAATAGCATATAACACTTATTTCTAACCCCTGTTTACAAAAATAATAAACAGTATATTTATATATTATCAACACTAGTTTTACCAAATTCCGACAGGAAATAAACAAAGGTGTGATTCCATTACCCATTCAATAATTCCATTATCTATCGTTTCCGTGTAATTCTTTATCATCAGGTAACTCTCTCATTGACAGTCTCCGTCATTGTTCTATTTCGCAAGAGCTGGCAACACTGCCACACGTTTGCGATAAGTTTGTTTGATATATTTTTCGTAATAGTGTTGTTTCATTTTGTTTATAAATTATATGGTATATGGTTTATTGTTTATTAATTGTGTATTTATGTTTTTTTGTTCATAACGGAGATTGCTCGCGAGTTTTTGGGACCATTGTTTTTATTAAACAGTTTTTAGAACGCACAATGATAATAGACACATATATATGTATATAATTAAATATATAATTTTTTGAACTTAAAAAAAATAATTTAATTTTCTATATACAGTTATTTCGATATTTGTGGAAAAATTTAATAAAAAACTTCAAAATATTAAGTATAAAATAACTAAATGTATAAAAAAAATAATAAACTTCTATACGTTTCAAGTACCAATATAACTTTAATGAATAAAACTATTATCATTTTTGGAGTTTTATCTTAACAATTTTCATGATTGTCTTTGGATTCACTATTTGTTACGTTTTAAAGTTTCATGTTGCAAATTTATTAATTTTTAAAATTTAATATTTGTTATTGAAATGGAAAAGCTCTTTAATTTTTCTTAAGGCGCCTTCGACCATATACTACTAGTTCAATTTAACAAATCGTAAATCTTTTCTGTTCTATATATGAGAATAGTACAATCACTTCATGCCAAGGTGATGTGAACAAGAATCATTGTATATATACATATATATATATATATATATATATATATATATATATATATATATATGTATATGTATAGTTAGATAGATAGAAAAAGATTTATAATGATAAAGTTATGCAACAATATACACAAATAGATGAAGGCGATGGATTAATTATTGAATGAATAAAGTTGATTGACACTTTAATGATAAAGCTAATGATTTGCAACACTAACAAGCTTAATAACAACAAGAATAACTTAATTTTAGTCATAAACCTTAACTTTAGTAATTTTGCATGATTTATAATGCTGGAAAATCTTTCCTAAAGACATATTTTAAATTTTTAATATATGATTTACATATTTTTCATCAATTATTGTCGTTAATTGGAATCGAACTTGTATTATTTTATATAAAATTATCTTTATTTTATTTATTACTTCTTAATTAAAATTTTACTGACAACAAAGTGGTGCTTGTCAGGATGTCTTGTATTTTACACAAATAATATTTTTTTAATCTAACAATAAAGCATCTTATGTAGAAATGAATTGTGGATAAATATTATTTTTAAGTGGGCGCCATATTGGTTATCAATATTGGTTTGCCAATATTGGTTTGCCAATATTGGTTGCCAATATTGGTTGCCAATATTGGTAAATATTGTTTAGCCCATATTCAGTAATATTAGTACACTCACATTCAAAAATTAAAAAATATTATGTAAAAAGTATTTAACTCTTTAATAATATAATAATTATTATTTTCAATAAATATATACATTTTTAAATCGCTCGTATATTGATTCTTAATTATATTCCTTATATATGTATATATAATATGCATACACCACTATTTTCATTATATAGTTATGATGCAACTACAAATTATTTTTTAAACCAGAACTTTCATTCTACATCATTACATAATAATCTTTGATCCCATAGATAATATTTATTATTATGCACGCTCTATGAAAAAAATCATTGCATAAATCAATTCTTTTCGCAAATGGAGTAGAAAATAATGTGTCTGTTACAAATCGAATCGTCCATGCGAACAACAACTATAATAATAGTAATAGTAACAATAATAATAATTGTAATAATAATAATAGTGTGTATTGGTAGAATAGTTTTGTTAGAAATCGTTCTGAATTTTTCTAAAGTGGGTTAGAAGGCGCGCCCGCGCGAATGTTCGATGATATTTGCTAACCTTTATGGCAAATATAGATGATTTGCGAAAAACAGTGACGGATTTTGCAAAATTGGTAATAGATATGGTAATAAATTATTCTTCTCTTTATTGAATTACAATCTGTCTTTACAAAAAAGAAGACATTCAGTAATTTTGATGATATATGGTAATAAATAATGTTATGCTGGTTGATTTTGCAAGGAAATAAAATTTATAACACGTATTCTCAAGAAAACTTTTAATAGTAATCATGAGTACGTATTGCGCGCTTTTTATTTTTCAAAATTTTATTAACTTCCCGAAGGTGAAGTTTATGTTTTCATCAAAAAATTTGATTTGCTAATTTTATGTTTTCTCGACGTTTCAAGCCATTCTGAATCGAATGAGACCGAATTTGGAAAAAGTATGTGTGAGTAGATTTTTGACCTCTCGTCGACGTTTTCTCAAAAACGGCTGGATTGATTTCAAAAATTTAAAAGCCATTCGATGTATCTCGATGAGGACTATCGTTTGTGCGACGATCTGCCAAGTCGTTTCTTTGTAATTTGAAAAAAAGTGTTGAACTTTTCGTCCACATTTAAGCTCATACTACCGAATCGATTTTAAAAAATCAAAAACTGTTCGAAAGATATTAGTTGGGAATGATACTGATCAGATTTATGTGAAAATCTACCGAGCCGTTTTCTTGTAAATAACTGTTGAAAAACAAATTTAAGCCGATTTTCATGGAACTTTTTTTGGCGATATATATCATGGTCTTATAGATCTTACTGAAATATTGCGATCTTTAGTTTAATTTTAAAGTAGTTTAATTTTAAAAATTCATCAAAGTTTGAGAAAATGACTAGTTTTTTTGACGTTTGTTAAAATTAAAATTAGACGATTTACTTGGTAGAACGATAGAGTCCTTCGTCTTAATGAACATACTAAACCATTAAAGTCCTATAGAAACTCATTCAATTAAAAAAATGTTGATTTTCGAACATTTGCTTTTAGAAAATACTCCGAGTTAACGTGTTCGTTCGTTTTCAATTATGTGTAATAAATCCACTCGGAATACTTTTAGTCACCCATAAACTAATTTATTTTTTATTGATTTAAATAGATTATTTACACATATCGGGAAGCTCATGTAACTTGCCTTAAGGCAAAATACCAATACCAACTAGTTAAAATTTTGTAATCAGACCACTTATCATAGGCCTATAATATTTTAAGGTGTTTTTTTGACTATCAACTCTATTCATGCCAAGTTTCATGAAAATCCCTGAAGAGTAAAAATTAGGTTTTCTTTGTAAGATTAATATAATAAGGCCTTAATTGTTCAAGAATTTTAAATGTATTTTTATATCTATAAGATAAAACTATTAATCGCAATATTTTGTTGTACATTTAAATTAGGCACTTATCAACATTCCAGTAAAGCTCTTAAAAACTTTGGAAATAAATATTTGCCCTAAAATAATCTGACATTTTAAAAGGTATAAGAGATAAATGACATCCTGCAAGAGAAACTATTTAAAAATTCCACTACTTTCATATATATATACATATATATATATATATATATATATATATATATTTATAGATAACTAATGCATTTTGTTTGCAACATATTTCAGAAATAAATAACTTAAAAAAGTCTAAAAGTTTCATAATGGCTACGCGAAGTGACTTGTCGTGTTTTCCAAAGTTTTGTTCATAAAGAATTTACTATTTGTTTTGAATTTATCCACGTGCACTTAAAACTACTACTGATTTAGTAAACTTTGGACAAAGTTGCCTAAGTCGTATCCTGCCGACCATATTAATAATTATATTGACATCCTATGGCAAAGTAAAAATTTTGGTAAATTTCTTAATTATTAATTTTTTTAAACAAAAATAAATTTAATTGCACTAAATTTTATAGGTTTCTTTTCTAACGAGTAAACCGCTCTAGATGTTTTGAATTGTTAATAAAAAGTCATATGCCGATTAAATTACCCAGGGCAGGAGGCCACGACGTCAATTTTCCTCTTTCTCAATATTTTTAGTCATCTTTTACCAGGTGTATAACGTTCAGTTTTATTCAATTCAAAAAAATAAGATGTCATCAAATGAGGAAATATC